TAAGAACTGGCGTTTCAAGGGAGGTGCATCAAAGGCTCAAGGAACAATGGATAAGCTACATAGTGTAGCTCTGGTGCACACACGAAGTCTGCCTGAGCTCCAGTGAGAATCCAGGTGAACGTGGCCAGAATTGCACACAGTGCATTAATAGACCTGATGCAAGGCAGTGTATAGAGATTCAGAATTTGTCACAGTGCTAACCATGTTCATATAGCTTTTGGTCAGGTTGGAAGGTGAGCAGAGTGATTTTTCATCTGCCCCAGATGTTTACTGTAGACATTACTTGGGCTGGATGCAGGCAATGGCACTGGATGTGTGCAACAAGTTTGGTCCTCAATACTAAGGAGACCAAATGCACCAAATTACTAGAACTATATTTACATTGCACAGGATAACCTTTAGATTTTCCATAAAGAGGACGAACAGCCTCAGAATAAGAGGGAGGGAGTATGCCCTTCTCCTCAGTAGTGTGCAGCCCTATAACCTTCCCCTGAGAGATAGTAGCTAGAGAGATGAATCACTGCTAGCTGAAGAGAGAACTGAGCCTGGCTCTCCCCTTTGTCTCTGCTTACCACAAATCTACTGCTGGAAAAGCAGTCATGAGTATTTCTGTGTAAAGGTCTATCTGGTAGCACCTCAGAGGACCAGATTCCTTAAGCTGTGATGGGTAGAATACCTGCTCAGGGGATCCTGGCAGGCTTAGGTAGGACATAGGAGATAAGCTACTCTGTGCTGTGAAGACCATGTTCAGGAGCCAAATTTTAGGTGCTTGAACACCTAGAACAAAATGTGGAGGAGCTCCTGGTTAGTGCAGTTTGGAGGATCACAGGATAACCTGAGGCCCCTGACGTGCCTGCACTGACCTCTGCATGTGTACTGCAGCATGCGAGATATCTGGTCCCTGTGTGTCGTGGCTTTTGTCCAGCCCATGCACATGCTATTCCTATCTCTGCGGTTTTTTGATGCATGAGGTGGGGGAAGAGAGTGCTGGACTATGAGCAGGCTTTGCCCTGAGTGGACTCGTAGCACCCACACAGAGCCTATGTCATGCTTTAGCACTGTGTTACATCTCTGAAAGCTCTTCGAGACATTCAACCAGCAGCTTGTTTACCTCAAGGAAATCACTTATCTGTGAAAATATGTTTTGCAGTACCTTTTACACACAAGGTGGCTGAGTGGACACACCTCTTTTTCACTAAAATGCTTTTGTGAGGTTTAGTTCAGTGCAAGGAAAACCCCAAGCCCTATGCTTTTTAAAAGAATGTGGACTTTCCTACAGAAAACACATCTAGTGTAGAAAAGCTGCTAGAATGCCTAGGGCTACAGCATTCCCAGAAGGAAGATCCAGCAGCAATTGCTTCCAAAGATACTGAAATAAGAGGTCGGAATCTACAGATACAAAAAATGTATGTATCCGTAGCAGTCATGTTTTCCTTTCTATGAATGTAGCATCTGGTTATATTGACAAATCCGATACATTTTGAAGTTTATCCCAACCATTCCTAGAAATTAGATTTTGGCTTTAAGTTTTTTGTCTGTTTTTATTTTACAGTACCTTGCATATAGAAGTTAAGATTTGATCTATTAGTTGGCCACTTATCTCACAACTTCTTGTAAATCTCTATTGATATATACAGGATCAATAACTCTGTTGTAAGCTTCTCTTACCTCTCTAGCTCATGCAAATCACTCCATAAATGTGCTGAAGAGGACTTTTCTCCTTGCATCTTGTTTATCTCTCCTCTTTGCTTCAGGATGCAGAGTAGGCACATGGCTTACTAATGGGTATATAAGATCCTCTGCATAAGAATTAAATGCTAAGCATTCAGAAAAAAAACACAAGTACAGGAACTAAGCTTGCATGTTAAGAATGGGTTCCTTTTAATGAATGCACTGGTCAGCAACTGATTTTTGTTATCACTGGAAATGTGTGGTTTCAGAGACATTTTTCAAAATCTCCTTAAAAGGATCATAAAATGACAATTTGGTCAAAATGGGTATGTCTATTCTTAAATGTTTGAACTAAAAAGTAAATAAGAAGAAATGTTAGCACTAAGTTTAGAGGATGTATTTATGGTTGAGCCAAGCGATGATATTCAGGCTCTTTGGTATGAAGCACATCTGCTGAATTTAGTTTGGAGCTAGGAAGTGAAAACTTTCACTACCATGGTCTGAACCCATGTGGTCATTCACTCAAGGCCAGGAGCCTGATTTTCTCCTATTCATACCAGCGTAACTGTGAAGAAATCCCACCAAAGACCTGCAGTGAGGTCCCTATAGTAAAACAAATGGTCTCGGGGACCCCTCACGTGATAAAAAAAGCTTTGTGAATGACCTGTAGATCGGTGACACTATTTCCCTAATCTTGTGTGTGCAAGGCTTTATAAGGTCATGTCCATCTCTCCTGTAATGAAATCTGCTCATACCAGATGCGAGGAATCATCTCAGGAGCAGATCACTCAGCAATTTGCAGCCAAGTAAAAATGATGATGGAATTTGTTTAAAAAAAAATAAAAATCACTATATGGACTGCAGAAATCTGTTGTGAGGTTTTTTAATTCACAGACTTAAAAGAATCTGTTCTCATTTTGCATTTTGTCTGTTTTATCAGCATAAAGAGGAATGGACTCAATGCCATAATGGAAAGACATAGTTCTATAGACAATCAAGGGCTGATTTCATAACATAGTGTCTCTGGTATATAAATGGCTGTTTGCCACTTACTTGCTCCATTTGGCTTTCTGCTCAGAGCATGGGCTTCATGAGAGCTAGTCTAATTGCTACAATTAACAAAATTAAATGGCTTATTGTGTATTTAGACAATTCTTCCCACATCCCGCATTGTTATGCTACAAAATCAGTAATTACAGTGTTGGGCTTGTAAATTCATGGACATGTGTTGTGATTATTTTTATCATGCACCTCTTGCAGGGACTCAACCTAAATAAGCATGTTTAGATGGATGCAAAATGCAATTTACTCTGCTTCCCAGCATGCACAGGAGAAAGAGAGGCAGCAGTAGGACCCCAGCAACCTGCTGAAGTCTTTTCCTTGGCATTGGGCAGGCAGTGCAGGGGGTGCAGAGTAAATCATAGCACCTCAGTCACTCCCAACTGCATGACTTCAGGGGTAGAGCAGAGAAAGGGCAGTGGCTTTGGAAGCTGAATTGCTGGCAGAGCCAATTAAAACTCAGTACACCACCACTTTTAAGGCTCTTTAAGGAGTTGTATGAACAAATCACAAATACTTCAAAATTGTTTAATTTGAGTTCTGAAAAAAACCATCAGGCTAGTTGTGAATATTTGATGGCCAATAAAAAGTAAATGAATATATTGTGTGATTGGCAGTCTCTTTCCAAATAAAGCAGCACTCACACTTTCAGTACCACTCATGAATGGCTCTTTTGGGGAGATGATGATATATTAGCTAGACTACCGTATGCTTTAAATCAATTTGGGTTTAATAGTTATACACCACATATTAATAATTGCAGTTCCAATAAAATTTTAATTTACCTCCTTTGCTTAAAAGTTTACAAAATCAGGCAGCTGAGGCCTAGCATTTAATTTTGGAAGGAAGATTTCCTCCAATGTTATAGAAATTTATCAATAGAAAATTTGTTGATTTGCCAATGAAAACATTGTTTATATGCCATCAAGCCCATATAACTCAAGCACAGAAACATTGTTCTAGCACAAGAAGCATATTTAAATTGAGATAAACAAAAGTGGAAATGATTTTTCTCATTAAATATGCAGGAAAAAAAGTATTGCACATATTTTCAAAGAATTCATATATATTTTTAAAATTATCCTATTACAGAACAAATAACTTTTGAAATAAGACAAAAGGCTTATCTTACATTTTCTTCTATGTTTTCTGAATGAACATGGATATGCATTACTTCTCCTTTACCTAATTAGAGTAGCGAATATTAGTTAAATTGTCTTTTCTGTAGGATACAAATCCAGAACTCTCACAATTTTAGGCCCAAGTCTTTAACCAGATAAAGTACCATTAAATCTGCTGGCAATTTTTTTTTGATTCATTAGAACAACATTTTCACAATTCTTATTTCTAACAAATAGATGTGATTGCTTTTCCTTACCAGAATATCCTTATGAACTCTTTTATTCTCATGTATTGTGGAATGAAATTTAAAAGACCTGATTTTTTCATTATTTTAAAGTAGAAGTTCATTTTTTTTACTTTTTTTTTTTTTTTTGGTTTGTTTTTTGCTTTTTTTTGCTATTGCTGTTTTTATTGAACTGTATTGATTTTAAAACTGTCTGCGGTAAAAAGAATAGTGCATATTAACTGTCCATAAGGCCATCATGGAATTTCAACGTGGACTATGTTGAATCGTAACATCTATAAAAAATTATTACAGCTTTTAATGCGACTATTCACAGCAATGCAAATTGAGAAACTGTCCGTGCAGTCATCTAAGCGTTAGGATTTCAATGGCCAATGTTCTCAGTGCAAGTATCACTGATGTTATGAATGCAACAGAGCAAGGTCTTGGAGAGCAAATTCTGACTCAGTGTAAAATGACTTCTGTTTTCCTCAAACAACTGGACTGAATTCTGAAGACAAAGTGTGCACATGTAGTGCCTCATATGGCACTGTGCACTCAGACCCTGCAGTAGTTTGCTTGACAGAAACATTTTTACAAACATTGTTAAAAAGAAAATGAAAAAATAAAAGCTGAAGCAAACATATCAAACCGTTTCCAAAAGCAACCCTCCCATCTTGGATTACAAAATTTACCATGTGCCTTGTTTGTAAACAAAACCAGCAATTTCCTTGCGTGAGCTAGCATTTGATTCTGGAGTGAAGGCTTTGCTGAATTTGATGGGACAAAGGACCTGCTCCCAAAATCTTTTTTTTTAGCACTTCTTGCAGTGGTGTATTTTCTGACAAAATATGAGTGGTTTTCACTGAATGATCAGCTCTATCTCCATGGAGGGAAGGGCAATCACTTTGTACAAAGCTTCAGGTCTGGACTATCAAACAATTGCTTTATTTAAAAAATTATTATAGAGGCAGCTGGCCACTGCTTAATTTGAAAATACCTAAGAAACCCTTGAAGCATGGGTGTTTTCTGATCTGTGTAAAGTTCCCTCTGCCTTGCAGATTCCTGCACTTTCACAGATGTTTTGTTTTGAGGATCTTGCCCCAGCAAAGAACAACAGGAATTGAACATTTCACTAATAAAAAAAGTCAACATTAAAAATGGCTAGTTGAACGCATACAAAGAAACATAGGCTGTGTAACCTCGGCCATTTCATAGTACAAATATTAATTATAGGAAAGACTGAAATTTACCCAGCAGCATATACAGCAGTGACTATACTGGATCTATCTGACAGTGAAGATTACAGTACCAATCATCAGGTCTTCTCCATCCTGACAATGCCATTTACAACAGTAACTCTTCAGTTCTGCTTCGCTCTCCTAAAACGGATGGAAATAGTTATAGCAAATTGTTTCTTATGGAATCACTGGGTGTCTTCACAAGCCACTTACAGTTGAAGCAGGATCCACGGTGTATAGAGTATTCTAAAAGTACCCATGTAGGCTTTCATATGGCATTACACTGCAAAACAAACCCATAATGTGTGAAAACCAGTTTTATATCAACCTGCAGAAGCCAGTTGATAAAATTCATGGACCAATTCTTAAAATCTAAGCTACAAAGAGAATGAAATGTATTAAAAGATTTGAGGTTTATAAAAAGTAACCTGTTGATATCATATTTTTACTTTACAAAAATATTGAAATAATTAATGAGTTTTTCACTCTGCACCAGCTTTAAAAAAAATACTATCAAATTTTGACTTGCACCTTTAATGCATTTGAAAGCACCATCAGGGGATACTTTTAACATAAAGGAAGATACCACTGACTAGATTTAGGGAGGTATTTAAAACCCAAAAGCTTGCAGCAAAAGCACTCTATTACAAGAGATTCAACCTAATTTTTAGACATATCTGGACACAAGTCTTGAACAGGCAGAAGAGGTCTTCCACATAACTTGCTTAGATTATACATCATTGAATATACTTACTAAGAGGTGGCTGAAAGCCTTTAAAAGACATCACTTTCACCTTGGGTGAGAAAATCAGAGCTGTCTCTACAAGTTGAGAACTTGACTGGTCTTTCCTGCTTCTTGTTCTGGTAGGGCTTGTGCCACTTGTTACCTGTCCCTCAGGCAATAGCAACTTTGCAGTTATACAACGTTTGGCACTAGAAGGGTATGGCATGTCACAGTCTCTTGTCACCCCTGCATACATTCACACACTGAATCATGCATTCTCAGTCCTGAAACAGAGAAGTTTCAGTGTGTTCATCTGTTTGTTGTTTCTTCTGATATATCTGAATGGGGTCCTCCAAAAAGTTTAGAATACGAAAACTATACTTCCCTGTTCTTTTACATATATATATATATTACTTTTGTTTTTTTGCAGATTGAACACTGAATCATGATTATCATTTAATTTACATCACTACGTGCTAGAGCTCCTTATTTCTCCTGAAAACCAGAAGTGAGCTGCATAGGATTTCTGTTGGAAGTAACATCAAGAACTTGAATTGCGTTTAAAAAGACTTTGAAATTCCACAGAAAACAAATAGTTCTGGTAGTATTAATGTTTATGACCCAATTAATCAGAATTTAGTTTACTTTCCATTGACAGTCTTACAAATATGATGATGTATTTTTCATTAAGAACTATTTGCATATCTATTCTAACCTGAACGGTTGATTTATGGGAGGGTTAAAGACTACTATGTTCCTGTTTTTTCCCTGGAAAGCAGTTTTCATAACAGCAACACTGTGTGCTACACTTCTGTTTTTTTTTGAAAAAGTTTTTGCTTGTTTTTGCTGTTGATTATGCAAATGTCAATCATTCATTTCTAAAATAAAATGCACTACTGGCTAAAGTTGAAGGCTCTGGTCACAGCCTTCCTACTGGGCTGATTATAAGTACTGTGCAGTCAGAGTTTCACAGCAGCACGGCGTCGTGGGTGAATTTCCCCAGCTGAAGTAACTGATCTGTATGTGTGGGCCAGGTTTGGGTTTTTTTGAGGCTTTCAGGTGATGCTGCTGTATCAGTGTCCTGCAGACAGACTGCACACAGTGGATCAAATGATAATCATGATGATAGCCAGACTAAGAACACTACAGCTTGCTGCTCTATTTGTAGTACGCAGTTTAGTTATTCCTACAGCCCTACAGTCAACCCTTATTTTGGGCTGTAACGTCATCGCTTCTTCAAGCTGTGTTTTTGTTTGCTTACAATGTGGTTTCATATTCCAAGCGCTCCTGGATAAGGGCATCATCTTTATATTGTAGCCGTGGAGGAGCAGGGGAACATTCAAATGCTAAGATCGCCTTCCTCAGGCTCCTGTCCAACACGTGTCTCTCCCACGCTGGGTACCTGTTCCTGAACAGATCGATTTTAATGACAGACTCCTCAATCCTTGGTGGCCGGGATGAAGGTGTGGAAGGTGCGGTGGGTCTCACCTGAAACACAGGCACACACCCATCCCTCTCTGCGAATTTCTGATCCCGCTCACTCGTGACACTCCGGTTGTTGGAGATGGACCGCAGAGTGTTTGTGGCCACTTCTGAGGGTAGGGTGAAGGCAGTGGCAGGGTCCTCACAAGCACAGCTTGGTGACTGCCCAAACCGGGGTCCATTGGGGTGAAAGAAGGCATAGTACATTAGCATAAAAACAATGCCTGTTAAAAAGCTGCTGAACACTACACACAGTGCTGGTATGGCAAATGCGTCAGAGATTGGTGGGGCCTTGTACAGATACCAGAGAGCACTCAAGGCGGTGTTTTCTAAAAGGATCACAAAATAGTAAATGAAAAGCCTACAGCGTGTCCTTCCTTCCTTGACATTGAACCAGCTGAATATATAGATTATCCCAACAACCATGTCGAAAACTATCTCCTCCCATTTAGTGATGCAAAACTCTGTCTCGCAGTGGACGATCCAGAAGGTCATGATGCACCAGTGCAGCACAATGAAGATCCCAAAGTACAGCTGGAAAACTGAGGCAAACAGAGCAAAAGTAATGACCCTTGCTGCAATTGTGAAGAAATGCCAGCAAAACTGGATTATAACAGCCATATAACTGATGGGTTTCTTGTCATCACGGGAGTCACGGAGGGCCTTTTGGTAAGAAGCCAAAGCCCAAGCCAGGGATACAAGAGATGCTGCAGCAGTAAGACCTAGGAAGAAACAGGAGATGTAGTTAAGACATAATTAGTATATCAGCACTTGGTTGAAACCAGTGAGATCATTGCTGCTTTAAATGTGTACTCTACTACTGACATCATACAATCTCTGACTCCTCCTTTAGTTCAGCCAGCATGAATAAATGGACCTTTACTGCTGAGATTTCATTGCCCTGCAATGTTGGATGATCATAAACAAGAGTTTGTGGCTATTGAGCTACACTCTGAAATGCTTCTCTTGCAGTTTCATGTTTTAAACAAATTAATTCACAACTTTGAGCAAGTTGGAAAAGGTTTCTGCTAGCTGTGTGATTTAACAGGATCTACTGTTGTTATTGTCTTAAAGAAAGAATATGAATTTTCTGATTCATTTGGATAAGTCATTAAAAAAGCCTAACTAACTGTCTTACTCTTGCTGATGGAAAAAATATTGCCCATTTTGATATTTCCACCACATTTACAGAGAATTTAAATAAGTTGAAAATGTCAAAACTTTGTTTTTAGAGTTGGAAATGAAATTAATTTTAGAAATGTTGGAATTTTCTACTGAGTTAAAATTCTGAGTACAGATGCTCCTGTTATGTTCATATAACCGTTCTATTTCCCATATATCATGAAGTTGACTATTTATAAGGCACTGAGCTATAGTATTTCTGGAAAACCTGACAAATATTTTTCACAAAAAGAATTCAATAAAATTTTTTTTCTCATGAGATTTTCAAATGTTATTTTTGTGAAAATAATTCCTATTCACTTGAAATCACAAAACCCACAAAACATTTTTTTATATAAAAACCTTTATATGCTTATTTTGAATGTGTATTATTCTTTTTTCCACAAGGGAGTTTGATTCCTGTTGGTAGATAAACTTTAAAAAAAGTTGTTTTGCAGCTGAATGTGATTTTTAAACTAACCTTTTACTTCCATCACTATCAGAAAGATATCTTCCGTTCCCATTTAAGAAGTGATACAGTTCAGTGTGATTATTCATATGCTTAACGCTTACACAGCATTATGTTAGAAATGAATGATAATTTTTCTGTACTAGAAGATTAATTTTTCTTTACTTACAATTCATATGAAGCTGCTTTGGATAGAAATGGGAATTAAACTGAAATGCAAAACCCCAGCCTTTCAAGTGTATTTATTATGTAAATACAATTGCAATAAATACGTTGTATATAGAAGGAAAAGATATCAAACATTTTATACTTAAAACTAGTTTTAAGAAAAGCTTTTTATTTTCATCTGCTTCTGTCTGCTCTTAAAAGCTGTTTACTCATTTCAACAACCTTTGGTTTTGATGCATAGACAGTATTTTTTCTCCCTGCTCAATAGCTTTCTTTAGAACTTAATCATCAAGGGTAGATTACTTAAACATTATAAATAAATATTATAATTTGTTAATAGAGAGTGGTAAATTTAAGCCTAAATACATGTTGCTATTCACTTTTGAAAAAAAAAGAGAAGTTTATTTAAAACAGAAAAAAGTAGGTTATGGAAATAATACCTGATGCTGAAGGAAATAAAATAGTTTTAAGCAATCCGCCTGGCTTAACACACTAAGATTTTGCTCAGTAAATAGGACAGAGGGATTCATTGCTTTCATGAGGGACTGTGTTTGCTAGTGTTTCTCCCCCAGTCAGTGCCAGGGTGCTAATTATGTTGTGAGCTTCCATAAATCCATGAATTGAAACCCACTTTGTTTTAAAAATAGTAATAAGAAATCAGCAGAAAAATAGTGCAAACTTAGAATTCCAGGGAGATCTTTTAATAAAACTTCATAATTTTTTCTTCCCACACAGACTCCTGGATGCCAGATCACCAACATTACTTCTGCAATCCTCCTTTATGGAGAGAATAAACTATCAGCAATAAAGGCAGGAAGGAAACAAGGTATAAATTGTTATTTTCATTTCTGACATGTATATTTGCTTTTCACATTTGGCTGCCTTTCAGTGACCATTATCTCTGGAGACAACACTAATGTCTGAAAATGTAAGTTCTCATTTTCCTGTAGGAATGTTTTAAGTATTGAAAAAACACAGTTCATTTCCTTTATGAAATGAAAAGTTTGGAAAGGTACATGAAAAGGATAAAGGATAAGAGACTCTTTTAATAAAAATGAGCCACTCTGAAGAACAGCTCAAAAATAGCATTATCTGCACAGGAAAGAATAACGTGAGAGAAATCCACATATTTTCTTTGCAAATCTAACAGTAATGACCTCACACACTTCCCCAGAGGTTTGTAGAGATACAATCAGTTTTGCATTAGGAGGTGTAAAATCATTCAATAATGCACACAGAATGTTCCAAATAAAATGTTAAAATTCATGAGAATTTCCAGTTTTCTAATGCTAATTAATTCATAGTCATTGTCTGGGACAGAAGAAAAGCAGGTACAACAGCAATATAAATCTGTTATTTAAACAGTCATTAACAGGGAAACATCCTTTGCTTTTACAGAACAACTCGGGGGTACTGGCATACAAGAGAGAAAAGGGGACAAGAGAATGTATGAAAGGAAAGGACTCCAGTTAAAGTGTTTTGTATCTACTCTTGTGCTATTGGCAATGACATTAGGGGTATAGAATTAAGATAAGGATAAATGCTTCATGGGCACCATCCATTTTTCTTTATTGATTAGACCCAGCACTAAAGAATTATTGAAAGTATAATTCGTAATGAGAACAATAATGTAAAGGTGATGCAATTGGCAGCTTGCTAATAAATGTCACTATATAAATGACTGGGAATGGTTAGAGATAAAGTGAATTATTGTAGCACTGAATGGATAATTCATTAATCAGAACACACATGCATTTACTCAGTATGTGCTCATATAAACCTCTTTATCCCTATTTAAGAAGAACTAAAATAAATTTCTATTACTATCAATCCAAAACTTTAAAGGTGGCAACACAGCACCAGGAAAAAAGGATGTCCTGTAGACCTAATGGAAAATAAATTACTTGTAACAAAGCAGATGGTTTAATTTCTTAAATTGGGAAGGCTTATTTACCATACAGAAATGAACAGAGAAGATTGGACTGTGATCTGTTCATGAAGAACAAGAACCAGATTTCCCACTTGTTCAGCTGCAGCCTCCACACTCTCCTGGTGCTGCAGCAGCTTTCTGGTCTGTATTTGAAAGTCTCGCATATCAGAGGCTTGTATTTAGTATCTTGATCTAGGAAGTTAGGATTAACTAGCATTCTCAGCTAATATATAGTCAAGAAACTGTATGTTCATCTGCTACAGACTGTTAAAAGTCCAGGAAAGCAGAAATTCTGTAAAATGGCCTTAGGAAACGTGAAAGCATGTTCTTGTTTCTTTCTTTTCCAAAGCTGAACCTTCAATTTATGTTTTTTTCCGCAGTGAAAATGATTTAGTCTCTGCAGCTCTGTCCTTAAGAGGAAAGAAATGCAGGCTTTTCACAGGAAAAGATCATATACTGCAACAGACAAATAATGCTTTTGTTTGTTTCTAAAATGGACACCTGAAAAGCTCTTAAATAGGAATTAGTGGGGAGAATACCTACTCACCTGTAGCCTTTGTAGCTTAGGCCACTGACAAGGGTCTCAATAATGAGACTAGCTAATAATGCACTGTATCAGGACAACTTGCTATCAGGAATGAATTAGAATATATTTTGAGTGAAAAAGACAATGATCAAAAAGATCTTTTTGCTCTTGATCAATTGCTCTTTTACTCTCTTAATGGCTTCAGTACTTAATTATTTGTATAAAAGAGTGACAACTTTGTATCTACAGACAAGTTTCAGATGCCCTCAAGGAAGTGCACACCCTGTCTGAAAACAAAGAACAGAATAGCCTTGATTAAATCACAATTTTAACTTCTTTCCTTGGAAACGATTCATTAATCCATATATAAAAGACATTCTTGCATTTTATAGAGGTTCTCCCAATTTATTTAACTTTGAAGAAATCAATTCAATGTGTAAGCAGCACATGTGATTTACTAGTTTGTATTTTTCTCCCACTCCCATAATATAATCTTTAGACTGAGACGTAACTGAAAAAAATATGGGTCTCATTGTCACACTAATTTTACCTTACTCCTGATTTGTACTTGAGAGACTAAAGGCATATTCAGGTCCATAAACTACTTCTTTTCTAATCACATAGAGTAAGCACAATACATCTCAGGTCAGCTGGGAATCCTAAAATCAAATGAACTGATAGGAGAAAGTGCTTCTTGACATTCAACCTGATTTCAAAAATCAAACTCCTGCCAAGGTTTTTGCACTGCTTCATCCTCCTTTTTAAACTTGCACTCATTTCACCATTTCCAGGAATAAATTTATGTAAAAGCAGGAATACCAAACGCAGCAGGATTTCTGGGCATGACAACATTGCCTGGGATTTGGGACTATGAAATATTTTTTAAGGAAGCCTGTTTTTATGAGTTTCCTATCCAGCTGGAGAAGTGACATTATATGCACCCAAGCTTCCAGATGCTTTTCTGAACCAAGGATCTCTAACATTTATTGTCACCTTCAAGGTCTTAATCTGATAGGAAACAGTCTTAATCTGATAGAGACTGCGTCTCTCCAGCTTCAGAAAATGGCTTGCTCTATTTACACAGCTTTTCCCATGCTGCTCTGCAAGTATAGCCACAAACCTGACATCCACGTGGAGGCCTTGCATGCAACTTGACAACAGACTGTGAGTCTCTTGACCAATTTTTTGTTATCATACGCTAGTATGGCAGTGTATGACATGGTATACATACTGTGCTTCAACACATGGTTTAGTACACGGGATGCTTTGCATGCATCAGGGGCAGCTTTGATCATACCAGGGACTACGTTTCCAGGTTCTCAGTATGCATTTCGTGCGCATGGATGTCATTCCCTGACCAATAATGTGAGATGAAAGCTAAAGAGGAAGCTTGCTTTTTTATGTTTTCCTCTTATCTGAAGGGATAACAATACAAACTCTTGCCCTCACCTGGGTTATTTCTCCATAA